ACTGGAAAGGAAGCATGCATAATAAACTGAATGGAAAATTCTAGGACCCGCATAGACTGCATTTGCTTTCCCCACCACTGAGTGAGCTACAGCACCTACCATTCCAGAAAATGTTGAGCTCCTGTCTTAGAAGGGTAAGCACACACATTCTGTTTCTGAAAACAGGCCTCTTTTTCTCAGTCAGCCCTTCCCCTCCGGGATGCCTGGCAGGAACAAGCTTACTTCCTAGTGGGTTAGTTACTTTCCTCATTGCTAGGACAAAATAGCTGTCTACAGCTACATAAGGAGGAAGGGTTTATTTTGGATTCTAGTTCTAGGGAAAGTACATCAGGGTACACCATGGCAGCCGGAGTTTGAGGCAGCTGGTCATGTTGCAGCCATACCCAGGAAGCCAAAGGAGATGAATGTTAGTGTTCAGCCTACTTTGTCTTTTTTTCAAGGGACCCTAGCTGGTGGAATGGTGCTGCCTGCACTTAAGGTGGGTCTCCTTATCTCAGTTAACCTAAACTACATCACAGGCATGCCCAGAGGCCTGTTTACCCTGTCACGTTGGCAGTATTGACTATCCCACTAGACTTATGATGAAGTGAGGAATTCTAAGGAGGAAAGGAGAATGAACTAGAATGGAGTTTAGAGACAATATCACATTTTCTCTCATGCAGAGACTGCATTTAATAATAAATGTAGAGACTGGAGAGGGCTAGTGGTTAAGAGCACTGTCTGCGCTTCCAGAGGTCCTGGGTTCAATTCCCAGCAACCACATGATATACTGGGATCTGATACACTCCCTTGGCATGCAGCAGTACATGCAGTCAGAGCACTCATATACATAAAGTAAATAAATAAATCTTTTTAAAAATAGTAAATATATGTCACAGGTCTGGAGAGATGGCTCAATGGGTAAGAATACTTGCTTTTGCAGAGGACCTGACTCTGATTCCTTGCACCTATATGGTGGCTCACAACCATCAGTAACCCCAGATCCAAGGTATTCAACAGGCAGTGCATTACGTGGTGCACCTAGATGCACGAAGACAAAACCTTCATTCATGGAAAATAAAATCTAAAAACATTTTATTTTATTTATTTAATCACTTTACAGCCTGGTCCCAGCTAAAAACATTGTTTAAAAAAAGATAAGTCAGGAATCTTGCTCACACCTGTAAACACAGCACTGGGAAGTGGAGCAGAAAGATCATCATAAGCTCAAGGCTAACCTGGACAAGATCTTGTCTCAGAGAGGACGTGGGGATTTTGTGTGTGTAGTGAAAGGAGGAGGACAATTTGAGGAAAGGAAGGGGGCTGATGGAAAGGAGAGGAGGAGGGAGTGTGATTAAAGGGTGAGTGAGGAAGATACAATGATAAAGGAAATATGGGACTCATGTTATATTCTAAAGATAAAGGATAACTCAAATTTATATTAAATACTGCCAATAATGTCTCCATGTTCTAATATTGAAAAGCACTTACATCTTGAGACCAAAAAGAAAAAAAAAGGTCAATTTTCTGCTTTTAAGAAGAAAATAACATCCGGTATTTGTTGAGATTCAGTGGGCATGTATACAATTCATCATCTGTTTAAATAGTAAAGATTGTTTTCTTTCTTCGGTTTCATGAGACAGGGCCTAGAGCAATCCTTCCACTTCAGTCTCCCCGCTGCTAGAATTACAGGTGTGCACCACCACTCTTGTTGGCTGCCAAGTTTGTTTCATATGATACCGTCTATTAGTCAGGGTTCTCTAGAGAAACAAAACTGATAGATTGAGTGTATGTTACAAAGGAGATTTATCAGACTGGCTTACATGATATGGACTGGATAGTCCAACAATGGCTTGTCTGCACGCTGGAGAAGCTGGGAACCCAGTAACTGATCAGTCCACAAGCCTGCTTCCTCAGCGGTCCCAATCTGGTACTTATGGCCTGGAGGATTCCTAGAGAATCACTGGTCTTCAGTCCATGGGAAAGGTTGAAGAAGGTGGGTTCTAGTGACAGCTGAGGATGACAACAGAAGCAACAACATGGTAGATACAGACACTAGCAAGGAGCAAAGGTCAGTAGGTAAACCTAAAGCTAACAGCTTTCCTCTCATACCTCCTATCTGGGCATGGGGAAGGAGCTCCTCTCAGCCAATCCTTCCAGGAATATTTTCAACTACTCACTCAGAGGCATGTCTTTTAATTGATTCCACATCCAACCAAGTTGATAACCAAGATTAAGTGTCATAGTACCTGGACATGCTACTGAGAGTATAAAATGATAAAATCTGGCTTTGAGGAAACAATTTATCCATGTTTATTAGGAGTGTTGAATATTTCTCCCTGGAAAAGATGTTCATTGTAGATCATTAAAACTAAGTGCCAAAGCCAGGAACTGTGGTACACGCCTGTAATCCCAGCACTTAGGGAGGCAGAGACAGGTGGATCTCTGAGTTCGAGGCTAGCCTGATCTACAGAGTGAGTCCAGGACAGCCAAGGCTATACAGAGAAACCCTGTCTTGGGGGGCGGGGAGGGGAGTCAACGTATATGCAAGCACTGTAATATTTTGATTAAAACCTTTCCCCATATCTTTATGGATAAATGTACAGGAGAGATGTTTGTTAATTATACTTATTTATTTACTCTGTGTTTGTGTATATGTACACACAGAGGTCAGAAAACAGCTTGCTGGTGTCCTTTCTCTCCTTCCAGTGTGTGGGACCCTGGGACTGAACCTTGGTCCTTTGGGCTTGGCGGCAAGCATTTTTACCAGCTGAACCATCTCAGCCAGCCATGTTTTTGTCACTTGAAAAAGGAGAAGGGTTAGACCGATACTTTTCCAGATGTACAGGAGCTCCTTTCACTTTGCTTTTTTTTTTTTTTTTTTCCTATTTTTTCGGATGGAACCTCAGGTCCTAGGCAAGAACTCTATGACTGCCTCGGCCTTCTACTCCCTTTAGTAAGAGTGATGGGTGCAGGTAAGACAAAACAGTAGCTCCAGCCTCTCGTGCCCTCGGAGCAATTACAAGCATCGGTGTACATTTACTCTGAAGGGAAAGTGACCTAAAAGCCAGTGGGTTGGTTGTAAAGGTATTTCTTTTCAGGTCATCGTCCAAGTTGGTTCTGTGGCAGCTCGGGAGGTCTTATAGGACACGAATGTCAATTTACAGGTGTTAAACATTAGGGGTAGCTAATTAGCTGGGAGGACAGGCAGCAACATCATAATCTCAAGTGAAATGTAACGGAAAAAATGCACACATACCCCAGTATCTGTCCTACATATAAAGGCTGGCATTAGAATTATATTAACTACCGTTATGCTTGATTTCAGTAGATATTGGTGTGCCGTTTTTGTTTGTTTGTTTCATTTGTTTATTTGAGACAGGGTCTCACTTTGTAGCCCTGGCTGGCCTGGAACTCTATATAGACTTAGCTGGCCTGGAACTCAGAGAGATCTACCTGCTTCTGCCTCCCTTGTAGCACAGTCAGCTTGAACTTGGTATTTGAACCTCTAATCCTCCTGAGTCCGCTACCTGAGTGCTGGGACTACAGGCATATACCACCACCATGCTTGGTTTGTGAGATGCTGAATATCAAACCAAGGGCTCTGTGCATGATAGGAAAGCAGTCTGCCGGCTGAGCTGTCCCCAGCCCATAGCCATTGCTCTTCTAATACAGTGGCCCTTAGGTTATGTGTCTGCTTTGCTTTTGTTTTAGCATGTTTGTAGTAATCAGATTAAAGGTACTAATTCTAAGTAGATCATTAAGGACACTTCTAATCACTATACTTTTCAAGAGTGCTCATTGAAGATGCCATTATTTCCCCCAGTTGGTAGCCCACTAGCTGGCATGGCGCCTTAAGTGTTCAAAAGCATTTCTCAGCCATTGGCGTTGATTGAAAACCTTAGGAATTTCTGCCAAGTCCTCGTGATCTAATCCTCTCCTGCGAGTACAAAGCTCAAGTGTGTACTGAAATGCCTGAGTCAGCTGCTTGAGGGGTATACTGGCTACACTCCTGCTCATTATTCCAGGATGAAAAATCTCCTTGGTGACCTGAGGCAGCTAGCTTTTACTCTGTCCACCCAGAAATGCATTTATAAAAAACATGTAGGAAAAATATGCACACATACCCCAGTATCTGTCCTACATATAAAGGCTGGCATTAGAATCGTATTTCCTACTGTCATGCTTGATTTCAGTAGATATTGGTGTGCTTGCTTTGTCTGTTTGTTTGTTTGTTTGTTTGGTTGGTTGGTTGGTTGGTTGGTTGAGACAGGGTCTCACTTTATAACTGTGCCTGGCCTGGAACTCTATATAGACTTAGCTGGCCTTGAGCTCACAGAGATCTACCTGTTTCTGCCTCCCAAGTGCTTAGATTAATTTAATAATGTAAGACATGGGGTTGGGGAGATGGCTCAATGGTTAAACTCACGGGCTGCTTTTCTCAAGGACCTGGGTTCAATCCCAGCACCCACATGGGAGCTCACAATTTTTTGTAACTCCAGTTCCGAGGGAACCTGATGCCCGCCCTCTACATGCTGGCAAAATGACCATACATATAAAATTAAAATAAATCTCAAAAAAAAATTTAGCTAGGCATGGTGCATGTAATCCCAGCAGTCAGGGAGGCAGAGGCTGGCTGATCTCTGTGTCCAAAAAAATTAAAAAAAAAAAAATGATTGTATTGTGTGTTATTACATGGGTCAAAGTGTTAAGATGGATCCTCTTGGTGCTAGCTTGGGAAATGTGGAATAAAGCTCAAGGACATTAATAACATTTGAATTCTGTTTTTCACTTGCTTGAGATGTTGTATTTATATAATTGTTTTGTTTTATTTTTTCGAGACAGAGTTTCTCTGTGTAGCCCTGGCTGTCCTGTCAAACTCAGAGATCTGCCTGTGTCTGCTTCCTAAGTGCTGGGATTAAAGGCATGTGCTGCCACCACCTGGTATATGTATGTGAATATTTTAGATTTCATTTGATCAGAAACAAAAATACTAATCTCCTTTAATTTTTTTTTCATAGTCAAATTCATCCGAGAAGTAACACCATATATCAAGAAGCCATCTTTAGTATCAGATCTGCCATGGGAAGGCGCCGCTCCCCAGTCACCAAGCTTTAGTGGCAGTGAAGATTCTGGTTCTCCAAAGCATCAGAACAGCATCAAGGACAGGAAGGTCATCCCTCTCAAAATGTGCTTCGCTGCTAGAAACCTAAGCATGCCAGACCTGGAGAACAGGTGAGCCATGCCTGTCGCGATCAGCATGTCTTGGCCTGTAAACTCAGGGAAGCCCTGCAACATCAGCACCTCCCATCCAGTGAATTACTGGGACAGAAACAGCATTCTGAGATCAGAGCTTTGTCTTTATTTTTGGAGTCCTAGATGGCCTCAAACCCACCATCTCCCTGCCTACCCTCCCATGCCTCTTTATAAGGAAATTTCTTAATTCTGTATAATGTTAAAATTCAGAGGCCACATTGTAGATCTGGGACATCAACTGACAAAACTGACAAGTTCGCTTCTCTGACCTCCCTGTCTTCTATAAAATGCCAGTGATGAATTGGATACTTTATATATAATCTTTCTTCTTGTTCTGTATGTAGCTATTTGTATTTTGTGATGATTTTATTTGATTAACTTTATGGAAAGCATATATAGACTCAGCGTAAGGCCAAAGATTTGCCAAAGTGGGGGTAACTTAAAAAAAAAATAATTGTTCAAAGACCTAAAGAAAGGCCTTGTATGCTGGGCGTGGTGTCACACACCTGTAATCTCAGCACTCAGGGAGGCAGAGGCAGATGGATCTCTGTGAGTTCAAGGCCAGCCTGGTCTACAAAGCGAGTCTAGGACAGCCAAGGCTACACAGAGAAACTCTGCCTTGAAAAAAAAAATGATCAGCCTTGGGCTTTATAGAATATGTTTTCATTCTGTGGTCTTCTCTGGTCTGAATGCACACAGGTGCCTAAGCAGAGTAAGACAGAACATGGAACACCGCAAGAAACCAAAGCCTGGCTTTCCTTGTCAGGCACAGTAGCACATGCCGTTAATTCCATGACTAGGGAGGCTGAAGAAGGCAGATATCTGAGTTCAAGACTGGTCTACCTAGTGAGTTCCAGACCAACCAAAGCTACACTGTGAGACACTCTTTTCAGTGGGGGGTGGGGGGGTGGGGGGGGAGGTGGATTGCAGACAGACTAAATGACCTAGTATATATATAAAGACTTACATTTTTCTTATTCATGTATATATGTTTATCTGAATGTATGCTTTATGTGTGGGTATCTTCAGAGGCCAAAACTGGAGTTAGAGGCAGTTGTAAGTTGCTCAACATGAGTGCTAGGAACCAAACTCAAGTCCTTTGCAAGAACATCAGGTGCTCTTAACCTTGAGCCATGTCTTCATCCCAAGAAATTGTAGCATAAAGTGTCATAAGTGAGACAGTTGTGGTAGTTCTTAACTATAATATCAGCCCTTGGGAGTCTGAGACAGGAAAATCTCTGTGAATTTAAGGCCAGCTTGGGCCACATAGTAGTTCCAGATTAGTCTGGGTTATAAAACTTAGTAAACTGGTTATAAAACCAGTTTCAGGAAAAACCACAAAGGGGCAGAAAGCTTTAGTTCATCTAGTGGTAAGACACAAACACACACACACACACACACACACACACACACACACACACACATGCACACGCACCCTCCAGCCAAGGAGGGTAGAAATGCTAAGCCCTTTTATTATAAATAACTTCTGAGAATAGATGCCTATGTTGTTGCTGATGCAGCTAGAAGCTGGAGAAAAGAGCAAAGCATAAAAACTTCTGCATGTCAGGCAGTGGTGGCACGCACCTTTAATCCCAGTACTCAGGAGGCAGAGGCAAATGATCTGAGTTTGAGTCCAGCCTTGTTAGAGTTCCAGGAAAGCCAGGGCTACACAGAGAAACTCTCTTCAAGAAAAAAAAAAAAAAAAAAAAAAAACCAAAAACAACAACAAATTTTACTTATTTTATGCATGTGAGTGTTTTGCCTGCATGTATGTCCTTTTACCACATAGACATTTAGTACCCACAGAAGTCTTAAGAGGGTATCAGGAGCCCCTAGAACTTGGGTTAGAAACATTGGTGGGCAACTATGTGGGTGATGGGAATTGAGTCTCTACAAAAGCAACAAGTGTTCTAAACTGCTAAGCCCCCTACCTCTCTCGCCTCATATTGTGGAAACATTTGATGTAATGGTCAGGTTTGAAAGAGGTCCTTAGAACCAAGTGTAGAGAGCAATTTGGAACTGCTAAAATTGTAGTAGACTATCTGTATGCCTGTTCGGAGCTCAGGAAACTAGAACAGGGATTATGAGAGGGAGAAAGTGATCTTAAGGGAGATATGAAGGTAATGAATTATATGTAAAGGGAAAGCAGAAAGGGAACCAGCTAGAGGAGGAGGGTAGTTGGGGAAGGGAGCAATTGAGAACAAAGTATCAAGTATGATGATGAAGATGCTATGATGAAACCCAGAACTTTCAGCTTAGCAAAAGTCAAAACACTGCATAATATTGGCGGTAGGCATACTCTTCATTCCAGTCAGATGATACTCATACATGGCCATGACATGCTCTACAAGGCCGGGTCTCAGGTGGTTTGAGACTAGGGTAAAGATTCTCAGTCTTACTGCTGAAAAGGAATTCGTTCCTACTTTCAGTTGAAATACCACATTTGAAAATGACTACCTTTTTATAAAATAAAAATGAAAAGAGACTGGAAGTTATTCTATAAGGGTAGTGCTTGCATTGCAGTGTGCTTCAGAAAAAAGCAAAAAAAGGATTACAAGTAGCTGGTGAGGGACTGGAGAGATGACTCAGTGGTTAAGAGCACTAGCTGTTCTTCCAGAGGTCCTGAGTTCAATTTCCGGCAAGCACACTTGCAAATAGAGTAACTTTGCTTATTTACCAGATGTGGACAAATGCCCTGTGTGTCTTGGTAGAAAACAACATACAAAAGCACCACCTAGGCAAACCTGCATTGTAAGACCTAGAAGATAGAGCTAGGAACATGGGCTTTGGCACACTGGCCAAGCCACTTTTTTCCTCTATGCCTCTAGTCTCCTCTTGAACAAAATAAAACTCTTGTGAGAATTAAATAAGAAAATTATTATAAAATTGGTGTAGTAAGCTCTTCCCAGCACCCATGTGAAAACCCAAGTTTGGTGACATGTACCTGGAATTCAGTACTTAAAGATGGGAGGATCCTAGGGGTAGGTGACCAGTGAGTCTAGCCAGTTGGTGAGCAACAGGACAAGTGAGAATAAGATAGAGAATGCTAGAAAAGAACAGCCAGCATTGACCTCTGCCCTCCATACACGTGCATAGCATGCACAAGTGCACACGCATGTATACACCACACACACACACACACACACACACACACACACATATCAAGGATATAGCAGATAATATCTGTAAAAATTACTTGGAGCTCTTTAGTCTTTAAACTTATCTAAGCCCTACCAAAACACATGTCAATTTATTTATCTGTGATTTTTTTTTTAAATGGGTGTTTTACCTACATGTATGCCTGTGCACCACATACATGTCTAGTGAACCACAGAGGGTATAAGAGGTCAATGTGTCCTCTGAGACTGGAATTACAGACGGTTGTGAACCTCCATGTGGTGCTGAGAATCAAATCCAGGTTCCTCTGGAAGAGCAGACAGTGCTCTTAACTGCTGAGCCATCTCTCCAGTCCAGTCTGTCCCATCTTGATGGTCATCTGAGTGATTTTCAGTTTGGAACTAGTTGTCATGACTGTTTTATACACCAGTTTTGGTCATGCATTTTCATTGCACTTGGGTAAATTTGGAGGAGTGTAGTTGCTTTGTCAGATGGTAGATGTGGTGCGGCATGGTGGCGCATGCCTTTAATTTCAACACTGTAATCTCAACATTCTGGAAACAGGTGCTTTCTATGAGTTCCAGGCCAGCTAAGGCTACATAGTGAGACCTTGCCTCAAAAAAACCAAACAAACTGCTGGGCAGTGGTGTCGCACCCTTTAATCTCAGCACTCAGGAGGCAGAAGCAGGCAGATCTCTGTGAGTTCAAGGACAGCCTGGGCTACACAGAGAAACCCTGTCTTGAAAAACAAAAGAAACAAACAAACAAATGGCAAGTAGGTATTTCATTTTAAAAGGAATGTCCAGGGCAGGAGGAAGCTCAGCAGTTAGGAGCATCATCTGCCTTCCAGAAGCCTGTTCATTCCAGTACCTGCGGACACCAGGCATATACATGGTATACATACATATATGGTGGCAAAACACTTACACACATTAAGTAAATAAAATAAAACTAAGAAAGAAAGAAAAGAAATTTCTAGACAGTCTTCCAAAGTGACTACCATTTTATGCTAAAACCAACAGCAGTCAACAGTGTGAGAGTTTCCATGTTCTCACAAGCGTTGTTGGTATTTTCCTTTCTGGTGGATATGCGGCAGAATCTCCTTACGGTTCATATTTCATAAAGTCTTCACTAAAACCAAAGGGAGCAGCTTGTTTTTATTATCACTGTTTTACTACTTTGATTTGGTTCTATAGTTATAAAGCTGGTGAGTGTTTAACTATCAAAATGAATGAATAAATGAAGGTTATTGCCTTCCCCTGCTTCAAGTTTCTACTGCCTCACTAGATGCTTCTGCTGATGATGTGTTGTGTCGTGAAATGTAAAAACTAATGAATAAGTGATGAAGTCCAGGGAGTGGACATGAGCCCACTCCTTAGCAAACAGCACACTCACATTTGCCCTTTGCATTCGCTCACAGAACCTCATCTTCATTCCAACTATTTTTCTAGTAAAAGGTGAACTTGAGATGTGTGACATAAATTTAACTCATACTTTATGTCAAAGACATAACCAAGCAAATGCATTAATATAGTCTGAGATCATAGTCCCATGCTTCTGTCTACCTAAATATTGATTTTACTTGTCTGATCAAACTGGAATTAAATTTCCCAGGAAATCCTCAGTGGTTTGACTGGAGTCCAAAACCTTTAACCTTGTAGCTGCCTTCTCGTCTCTTTGTGGGCTCAGTTACTGGCAGATTGCCTCCATGTTTGGTATATTAGCAGGGCTTTCATTTTAATTTTTCCTTTAAAGTAGCTCATCTCAAGCATTACTGCGTTGCCTTTGTCAGTTTTGAGGACTGCAACAAGACAGACTCCTCTGGATCCTAAACCCAGTTCTGTTTGCCAGTTTATTGTTTT